CTTTGTAAACAATAAGTGGCTACCAATTAGATAAACTAGAACTTAGTTACTAAAATTTGAAGTGTTGGATTACGAGCCATGGAGGTTATAAGCTCTAATTTTTCCCCCCTATGAGAAACGATGATATTATTAATGATAAAAGTTCAAAGAAGGTACAAAAGTAATCAGAGATGGAAAATTTGTCCAAAACCAAAGACTCGTTAACATGAGAAATAAAAATAAAATTATTAGTTAGAAAAAACAAAAACTACATTCCGCATGTAGCTGTCCAGCTCGAAATAGTGCCAAAAAGAAAATATTGTCAAACTCCTTAGACACTGATGACCAAACGGATGCCAAAAAATAAATTTGGTCCAATAGTCCTTCAACTTTCTTCCATTTATTGCAAAAAATCATCGCATTATTTCTAACCATATAACCCTAGCAGTAGCAAAACAAGCACAATGTCAAATAATCTTCAACTGTTTAGTTTTCCCACCACCTGGATCATCTGAACATATCATAAAATACATAGTTCTCGGTACCACCCAACACACACCCACATAGCTAAAGAACTCATTCCATTGTGAGAGAGCTATAGGGCAATATAAAAATAAATGATCTACACTCTTACTATAGTGAGAGTGCTATAGGACTATATGAGACACTATCACCTTTACACATTACACACCATTGCAGTAGAATACAAATCACGAGTCTCCTTCTTTGAAGCACATCATAAGTGTTTATTATCCATGCACAAATTTGCACTTTTAGAGGCGCTCTAGCTTCCCAAATTATATTCGATGAAAAGAATAAAGGAAGAGAGGGCTTATCAACTAAAGACTCAGAGAAAGATTTACATGAAAAAAACATAATAGGATAGTTTCTCAATTAAACTTTGTTTTGAGTACAATCATCCACAATCCTTCTTCAGTAATGAGTGAGAGGTCAAGTATTTTAAGTCCATTCCTGACTTTAATGTCAAGATCCTTTCTTACGCAAGTTTATGATTTTAATCTTTTTGTGATAATTGATTGTGGTTCATCACTTAATAGAGTGAGCAGATACATTTTTAGTCCTTAATGTGTTGTTAGACAGTCAAACATATTCAAGAGGGTGAATGTGTTTACCAAATAGAGACCTATGAAAAAGAGGTGGTCAAGCTTTTTTTCAACAAGATGGGATTAATGTTAAGAAGTAAATGACAACTAGCATTAAATCTCATAGTCTTGATTGACTTGGGACACATATCCATACGAGATGAATTAGCAATTGATTTAATCTAGTACTTAGAAATTTATGAGGAAGCCTCTAGGATGAGACTAGGTATTGACCAAATTTATCTTATCGCCCTCAGATTTTGACACTTGGTTTCCCGATCGTTAGTTTGAGATGTATTGGGCAGTGTCGCTCAGGAGCATTTGAGGCCTAAAACGACAAATTCAAGTGAGGTTTTTTATATTTTTTTACTAAAATATATCGTTCTCGCTCTTTGAGAACTTGATTATTATTTAATTTTTCTGTAGAAATTTTGGTGTCATATTATTTTTAAGTAATAATATAATTAATCTACTTAATCTTTCTTATTTAATCAGAGGTAGGATTTAATTAATTTTAATCTTAGAAATCTTATTTTTGAATAAGTAATAGTTAAAGTAAAAATCGATTGTAAGCAATGCATGCACTTTATAAATAATTTAACATTTATATTTATTTTAGTACCTCAATTGATCATTATTTTCACTTTTATGGTTTACCACGATGAAAATCATATCTTAAGAACAATAATGCCATTGTATATATAAATATAACCTAATATTCTAACTTAATGATGTGACATGCTATATTGTAAAAATAAAAAGTTTTAACAATGATAATTATAGAAGTAGTATTAGGCACTGTCAATTGCTACATATCGTTCAATTTTTAAGATCAAATGTGCCTATTTATAAAAGCCTGTGTTTAAGAAAAAAATCTACGACTAGGCACATTTGATCTAAAAAAATTAGATTCTTATAGAATTAAGACTCTAATATGAAATACAATACATAAGAAAAATGGGGCCTTATTTTTTCATAGGTGTTAAAGCCATGGCTTTGATTGCCTTATGCTCTAGCCGACCTTGATATTGGGAAAGGGTAGGAAGAATATTGTTCTAGTTTCTTACTTTTACAAGACGAATAGTTGTGGTAATAAAAGTTGAGTCATCAAATGCTACCATATTTCGTGGAAAGAGTTTGTGATGTCTTTAAACATGACTCGTTGGTAGGAAAGGAAAATATTATAAGTGTTAAGTTTTCATCCTTTCACTCTACCCTTTCCTTCATATTTTTCACTTTTCGTTCTCTTGTTGTATTACGCTCAATTGTCCTTAATTTGTAAGATTTGATGTGATTTGAACACTAAAGCAAAACTACCTCTAAGAATTATTCTTTTTTTCCCTTCTCCCCCCCCCTCTCTCACACAAACAAAGACACACACATTCTCTCTCTCTCTCTCTCTCTCACGCACACACACACACACACACCTGAATCTCTGATTCTTAATTCCTCATCATGAATTATCTTTTGTATAATTTAGGTAACTATGGTCCACTCTAGTTTCATGGGCTTTAATTTTTCTTGTTAACGGAGTGGATCACTGTGTCAAAACTTTATTTCTATTTAAAGTTAAATCAACCAATGATATTCTTTCTTTACAAGGATATATGGAATTTAAGAACTAGCCAAATGACTTCATACCATCGATGAATTTATTAGTTGATGTATAGGTAAGTGATGGATGTATTATATCATAAGCATGACAATCTAAGTATTATAAGGAAGTAGACATCGTAGGTAGTCTATTTAGTGAAGCAAACAATTAAAGCTCACTCTCCCTCCCTTCGAGTGGTGTAGTTGAAAATTGAAGAAGCGAAAGCAAAATGTTTTGCATTGTTTCTCTTGATGGAATTTATATACAAATGAAAGCTATATCTATCACCTGCTTCAATTTTTGAATGGAGGAATTGACTGTTCTGGGATTACGGAACTTGGATGGATGATTGCTACTAGACTTTTAGGCCTCTGTAGAAATAGATAGCTTCACTAAGATTAAATATTACTTTATTATTTTGCGAAGAGAACTTTTTGCTGGTTTTGTACGAACTCATTTATGGCTTTAACATGAGTGAAGGTGTTAGCACTTAGCACTAGGATGGTTTGACTACCTCTACAATATAAAGAGAGCTTATACACACATCGAATAATTAGGCTCACGCATGGTTGGTTTGTATGCTTGAGGGCCATTCCACCTATTACTAATTGGTTTTGAGTTAGATGCTCTAACATGGTATTAGAGTTGGGTCATGGTTGGTTAGTGGGCCGCATGTGCTAGTATGTATGTGAGCCCCACGTGTAAGCTTAGGTCCCATGTGAAGGAGGGTGTAAAGAGAAATTGTATCTCACATCTAATAATCAGGATCACCCACGATTGGTTTATATATTTGAGGGGTCACTCCACCCATTGACAATTACTTTTGGGTTGGATGCTTTAACACACACCTTTTAACAAGTTGATGCTAGGATCTATTGTAGGTTCATATTGTTGGACCATGTTTTGGTAGTCAGCAAGTATCAAAATATCGTTTTGAAACGGTCGAAACGTCCGAAACATTTCTGTTTCCAAGGCGACCGAAACGAATCAGTGATAGAATCGAAATTCTAATATTTTGAGGTATTTCATAATGTTTCGAAATGTATTATAATATTTTAATGCATTTGTACAATTGGTTCAGAATGTTTCAAGGTATTTCAAGATATTTTGATATATTTAAATCAATGTTTTAGAAAAATAATTCTTAAATTTTTTATTTTTTCCATTATGTTTCCGAAACGGGTCGAAACGTTTCCGAAATACGTCGAAACGTTTCCGAAACACATCAAAACATTTTCGTTTCTTAGGTGATCGTAACAATACGTTGAAACGAAATTTTAATCCTTGGTAGTCAGCTTATTGTAACCTAAACGACTCCTATGCTTTTGAATTCATTAATTAGTGAATTGGGTACTAAAAACTCATGTAGCAATTTTCTGTTAAACATGACGACAAATATGCATGTTGGGACCGTAGCATGGCTGTGACCTTGCTAGACTTCTATAAGTAAAGCCTTGGGGAATTTGTAACAGGTGAATTTAGTAGAGAACTTTTTCTCGTGGGCAAACTATGTCTTGGGCAATGTGTACTTGAAAGTGTAGGGACATTTATCTGAATACTGTTTGATGATTAAAGGACAAGTTGTCCACCACTTCAAGCGGCTATCATATTCTTGACTTGAGTTTTGGGCCTTTTTTTTTTGGTTGTAGTTTGCCATCTAATGTTATGAAATGTGTTCCTGGAGGGGGGTTGCGGGGTCATGTAACACAGTTTGTCTGTTGCACAACTATTAGAAATGATCACTTTATATTTTAGTCTCCTTGTGGCATATTGTTATTTCTTATCTGTCGTTTGGCAATTGTTTTTCTTTCCATTATGCTCCTGATTTTAACTCTTGAACTCTTTTTGGTTCCCAGCAATCTCATGATAACATTTTTTTTCCTTCTTGAGTTATCCTTTCTCGGATGATGTTGGTTCTTAAAAATACAACAGAAGAAAATAAGAGTCAAGAGTGTCTCCGAGAACTGAAGATAGTTGCTGCTTTCAAATACTGTAGATTAAAGCATTTATTTTATTTCTTATTTTACGGTTTCATGCATCATGGAGTAGTTGATACTTCATTTGGCACCTTGGAAGCACAAATACTCCTCCGAAGGTCGATGTGGCGGTGTCGGACACGTGTCCAACACGGATACGCGTTGGACGCGACCGGACATGTGTCCAACACTTCCACCAGTGTCTTGAACAACGATCAAGCATGTTTTGTGGGCGGATACAACTTGGATAAGAGGTGATACGGCTACATATCTTTGTTGAAATCCAAACAAAAAAAAAAAAAAAAGAGGGGTAGAAGACGTTACATATTTGAGATCAGTCAGCCACAGATGTCATCTTCCTCTACTTATACGACTCGCCACAGACCTGAGATCAGACATAGGTACTTTGAGATTCTTCTTCTTGATGCTTCTAGAGGTTTGATGCCATCAGATCTCTCATAGATCGGCTTGGTGTGATTAGATCTTTTTCTCTCTCTCTTTGTGCGATTGGTGTGATCAACTTGCCCTAGATGCTCGCAACATCGTTCTCCCTTCTCTCTCTGTCTCTCTCTCTGTGTGCGATTGGTGTGGTTGGCTTGCCCTAGATGCTCGCAGCATCGTTCTGTCTTCTCTCTCTCTGTGCGATTGGTTTGCCCTAGATTGCTTGCAACATCGTTCTCTCTTCTCTCTCTCTCACATTCTCTTCGTTATGGTGTTGTGGTGTCCACCGAACAATTAGACTTCTTATTAGTCTAGCTCACAACCCATTACATTTAGCCCCTAGCTCATAACATTTAGCTCACTTACTAAATTTAAATTATCTTATTTGTCTAATTATAAAATATTAATTAATTCCACAATTTTATTATTAATGTTATTATATATATAAAAAAATATTATATTATTTTAATTAGTTGTATCCTCGCCGTACCCGTATCCTATATTTTAGAATTTTGTCTTATCCTCGTGTCCGTATCAAATCGGATACGACACTAGTGTCTGTATTCGTGCTTTCTAGTCTGGCACTATCTTGTCTGATTAAGGATCTGTATTGTTCTGTTTATGCAGTTGTCAATTGTGTGTTGCCTTATCCATGTAATTTTTAGTTTAGGACAATGCTGTTTTGCAAAATAAAATACAATTATAATATTGTTAATTGACACGTCTTGTGACCTTGTTTGAACAATGGTTACGGAATTTAACTTAAAAATTCTGGAGTTCTCTTCAGATATATTTTTTTTTTAATTTTATGAATAAATGATAGGGAAAAGAAGAAAGAAAGATTGGGAAACTCTATTTTACACAATTGTAGTGTATACTTTAGCACTTCATCCTCCAATGGGTCAAATGTTACCACATGGTTCTAGACGAATGTGCAACGGTTGACTCTGTTAATGATGCTGACAAGATGATGTTAATACCTCAGATGTATATGGTCAAATGTGAAACCTATTCGATCTCTGCACAGCTTTCTCATTCTACACTTCTCTTTCTCTTTTAATTGTGAATATGACTTGAAGAGGTGGGTCTTGTTCGTTTGCTTTACATCCTTTTTCTTTCTTCTTCAACAACTCCTCCTCTTTATTTCTCCTCTGCTTTTCCACTTTCTCTCTCCTTTTTTCTTCGACAATCATTGGATATGATTTCAATAGTCACCAGAGATCCATATGCACAGCCCACCACGGGAGAGTGTGATTGATTACGCATATGCATAATCAGTGTATGCGGGCCCCATTACAAATAATTGATGTCTCAATTTAATTGGAAATATCTGTATGGATATGCAGAGGCAGTATATTTTGAGCAACAGCCGGTGCTCATAGAGCCATGAGGGGGTTATGCAGTTATATTATTTGAGCCACAGAGGGTCAAGGGGTATAGCAGATGATGCTAAGATAGAATTTGCCCTAAATTATTTTACTCATTACTAGATTGAAATTTTTTTCCTGCATTACAGATGCGATTGGATTACTTATAAAGAATGACATTGTGGTGGTCATTATTTCCTCTGTAACTCTCCTTGAAGCTACTAAAAGTTGTGTGTTGTTGTATCAGGTTCGTGATGAGCTTGTTCAGGCTATCAAAGATGTAGAGGAAGGGCTCCTTCAACTGAAACGTGCAAGGTTATTGAGAGAGGCTGACTTTACTCTACAGGGCTCCCAACGTTCTGCTGAGGATGTCAGGGTAGAGCCTCTTGATCCAACAGATTTTGAAGCTGAACCCCTGGTGGGGGATCAAAGTTATTCCATTGGATCAAAATGTAGGTTCCGCCACACCAATGGACGATGGTATAATGGCCTCATTGTTGGACTAGAAGATTCTAATTCTGCAAAAATTTCATTCCTCACTCCGAAATCTGAAAACATGCTGGTGGGTACAATGTTCTGTTCAATTGTTTTTCATGCAAATTGATTGTTGATTAGCCTCTTTTTTTTTTTTGCCAAGTATGCCTTGGTTTTAGGCCTATCTGTCTAAAGAGAAATTTGGTATTGATGTCTTATTACAACATCAAATATTTTGAGAGTTTATAGTTGTGCATATAATGCCAGACGATGGGTGACCGTTGTCAGATAATCTAGAGTAGCTATTAATACAGAAGGAATGAATTTTTTTTTTAGAACTTGTATATCCAAAGATTCAAAATTTAATACCTTCTTTCTCCACCTTACTTTTGTTTTGGCAGTATTTTATAAAATTATTCTGCTTTTTTTGTTTTCATTTGTTTTATTTTTCTCGTCAATAGTAACACATTTCTTCCAAGCAGTTAGTTTGGTTGGTTATTGTTTAACAGCTCACTTATTTTGCTTTTCTGTGCCTATATATGACTGAGTTGAACTAAGCTTGACTCAGAATGAAGGGAAATACTTTTTTTGGTTAATCAAAACTTGTCATGACCTACTTTCCAACTTTATTGGGGTAGGGGCAACCAGCTAGAACTAATCTATTTCTACCATTTGACGGACTGAGAGAAAAAGTGGGCTAAAGGCCAAGAGGAGGGAGGAAGCAGAAGCTAATAACTGCTTACCGCTTTATCATCCTGATTAGATTTGTGGGCTTAAGGGTAGTCTGTGATTTTAACCTCATTTAATTGACCTATTATAATCATATCATTTTCGACCTAAACCAATGTTGAAGCCATTTTTTTGGTGAGGTTGTTGGTTCTTGACTCTTTAGGTGACACACATTGATTTGAATTTGGAGCTATTTTGATCAGCAATGATTAGGTATATCCAGTCCCCCTTTCCCTAGTGGGGACAAAGTCCCAAACTGGGTAATGAACTCCACTTTCTTCTACATGCTGATTTGACATATTTACTGGTTTTGCAGTTTTGACATGGGTGCTTCAATTATATATTTATGTATGCACAAATATACATGTCAACATTGCACTGGTGAAAATAGTTACCAATCTAGTCAATTGGTGTATGCATCTTGTTTGTACTTAAATTTCTTAAATAGCTCGCCAATGAGTGACATTCTTTGTATTGGTGGTCAAAGAACAAACTCTGCATTCTTTGGCTTCACATACACACAAGTCTTGGCGTTAGTCTTATTTTCTTTGGTTGGATTATGATTGTCACATGGAATACAATGAGTTTTGTTGCATCAGCTTACTAATGCTAGACCACCCAAGTGCAGATGTGCAAGTTCTTTCTGCAGCAACGATGTCGATTTGGCACTAACTGCCGCTTATCACATGGTATGTTGCAATGCATCTGCTAATAGGACTGACAGACCTTCGAAATGGTTTCACAAAGCTTTCACTGCCCAAAATTTTGTATTATTATTTTTTAAGTGATGCATAGAATGGGGATCAATGTGAATATGTTGCCTTTCAATAATTTGGAAAGCAGCTTCCTGCAAATTAGAAAAGAAATACTCCCCTTTTATATGCACAATGAAAAAAATTTGTCTGGTGAAACCTTTTGCTCCCATATTTAAAGATAAAGAACTTTAAGCAATTCTAAGACTTCCCTTCTCTTGCCAGCTTTATCGTGTCCAACAATTGCTTTTTTGGCATTATGCCCACATATTGTAACACTAGAGTGTTCAGCACATTTGATGGGTGTACATGATTGTCACGTGGATGAGGGAGGTGCCAAGTAACTTATTTTCCTTTTCTTGTTGATATTTCTTTTCTTTAGGCTTTGAAGGGTAATAGGAACTATTATTGTCTTAGAGACGAAGAGAGACCAACCACCCACTCTCCTGCAATAAACAGTAATAGAATAGGCCAGCTGCTAATTCTTAATGCTGCACACATAAAATATTGTTCTTCTGTTTTATCTTATTTTTCACCTGCTTGTATGGTTTTATCAAGCATTTTTGAACAGAACTGAAATGTAGCAATTCTTGGCCCAGGGGTTGATGTTCCCCTATCTTCCTTGAAGAAGTATATACCCACGGTATGGGAGCAGTCGCTGGTTGGGTCCAGTATATGGGCAGTCTCAGACAACAAAGTCGGCCTTTGGAGGGAAGCTGAACTTGAATCGTGGAATGAGAAACTCAGGGTGGGGCAAGTTGTTTTCCAAGACGATGGACGCTCCGAAAAGCTTGGGACTGAAGCAATTTCATTGTCTGAATTTGCAGAAATGAGTGACGAAGATGAAAGTGATACGAGCTCAGAACAATCTGATTCTAGTATCTATCAGGAAGATGATTCACAAGGTTTAGGATTTCTTGAGAGCACTACCCAGCAGAGGGGCATCCAGACTGAAACTGTCATTTTTGCAAAGTGGGAGAATCACACCAGGGGTGTAGCTTCCAAGATGATGGCTAATATGGGTTACCAGGAAGGTATGGGTCTAGGTTCATCTGGGCAGGGAATGCTGGACCCGATATCCGTGAGAGTCCTTCCACCAAAGCAATCTCTTGATCATGCACTCAAATCTCGGGAAAATGAAGAGAATCGTGGGAAGAAACGTAGCAGGGGTGGGAAGAGAAAACGCGACAAGAAGTTTGCAGAATTAGCTAGAGCTGCTAAAGAGGAAGATGAATCAAGGCCGGATGTCTTTACTCTCATCAATACCCAGCTTGCAACGCACAGTGAAGCTATGAATGGTGGGTTGGCAAAGAGGCGGGAGAATAAAGGTGTTGGAGAAGGGAAGAAAGTGGACAGGCGGACTCTGGTTGCATATGATGATGAAATGAAGGAGTTGAGGATGCGAATCGAGAAGCTAGAAGAAATGGTGAGCCGAAACAAAAACGAAAAGGTTGTTTATGAGGCTGCTACGAGGAAGTTGAATGAGACTCGCAAAGCTTTGGCAGATGCCGAGGCAGCTCATGCATCTGCTTCAAATGCAGTTGTGAGCAAGGAAAAAGAGAAGAGATGGCTTAAATTTTGAGTGTCAATTGATATCATATATGATTGTATACTGACAAATTATCAATTCATGTGGGGTTTTTTTTTTCTGTTTGCACTTGCAGACCTTCCATTCAGGTTGGTCTTTCAATCTCCATCTCCCCGTTTCAGTAGTGGCAGAAGCGATGATATTGGTATTATGTCAACCCTTGTGCTCTCTCTCTCTCTCTCTCTCTCTCTCACACACACACACACACACACAGATATCCTTCAACCACTGAATTCAGGGCAAAGGAGGAAACCACATCCTCACTACAAGATACCTGGAAGACCACTTGTTTCCGACTCTAAAGAAGAGATAATTTATCACCACCTCTACATAACAGTAATCAACTCAAATAACAAATTTATAGCTTTCAACAAGCTTTACCTCCTGAGCTAAGCAAGCAACTAGGAGCAAAATAGCTAACTGCTCTTGAAAAGCTCAAATTGATACAAGAAGCTTTGGCCTCTTTTTATTTATTTTCTCTTTTTATTTTCTTCTGTCGAGGAAGAAGTTGGTTTTTGGCAAGCCTAAATTCCAACTAGGCCAGAGTCCTGTTCATGGACTGAGCTCAAATCATCAAAAAGTAGGCCAGACTTAATTTTTTTTTTTGGAGAGAGAGAGAGAGAGAGGGGGAAGAAGACTTGAACCATTGACCTAAAGAAGGCAAAACTTACATGGCTTCAGTCCAATTCAAAACTCAAGAGTCGAGAAAGAGACAACGCACGCACGTTTGAAAGCAATCATCGAAATATCCATTACTTCAAGATAGTGCATATCCCCAATTGTAGTTATCTTTTTTGATAAATTAGTAATTTGACCCTCACGTCATCGTCTCAATTGGGGCTATGTGCCTATAAATTGTAAACTCCTTTACATATGGGGCAAATCTCACACATCTCATATTGAACGTACTCTTCCTCCTTCTCTCCTACAACCTTGTACTCTTTCATTAAAATAGTTTTTCGGCCACCGTTGTCTCCTTTAGTGGATAGGTCACCAGACCCAACCACACAATCTTTGTCTCTTATTATTAATTATTTTACACCATACACTCAACTAATTTAATTGTACATAATTAACTTTGTGCGTCATCAATTTTGATTCAAGATCATGTTCTTATTGTACTAGTGCCATGTTTACCAAGCACCTAATTGAAAACCAATTGCTCACATAATTTCCACCATATATTTATATATAATTGGGTTTGAATGGTAATTGAATTTGATATTGATATATCAAAAATATAAAATCATAATAATATAATATAATAAATTAGAATTTAACTAATCGAATTTGGCTAATCCATAGAAAATATGGATCTTGATGTGCGATTGGATTACTTTGTCAGTTGTGTGGAATTTGGTTCTTGATATGTCAAAGCAGGTACTATTAGATTTGCTCGAATAGTCTAATTAGCCTTTAATTTGGTACTCACGCGTGTAAATTACACGTTTGAAGTAAACCAATGAACCGGTATTTCTAACTTTATCTCCTCGTAATTATGAATTAATTGTATTATAGGTCCTCAAAATATAGAATTTATTTTATTTTGATATTTAATATTTCAATTATCTCATTTTGGTCCATGAAACATTAAATATATTTTTATATAATCCTTCAAGTAGACAACATTTAGATTGCTAATAGTTTTTGGTCATAAACTTGTCACGTGATGCTTAAATATGAGTAAAAAATAATTTAGGTAAGTCTTGACAAAAATGTATAATATAGATAACTTTTGACCAAAATTTGAATCGTTTATGATCAAATCTATGCAATTTGGGTAGCTCCTTGACCAAAATTTGGGTAAAAATTTGGTCAATAATTTTCTAAATTATTTTATTGCCCATATTTAAGTATTATATAACAAGTTTATAATAAAAAATTGTAAGCAATCTATACGTTGTCTGTTCGAGGGATCACATAAAAGTATATTTAATAATTCAAGGGTTAAAATGATGCAATTAAAATATTAAGAAACAAAATAAGATAAATCTCATACGACATCCACTACAATTTACCTTCTAATTATACTAAACTCTTTTTTTTTTTTGTTTTTTAATTTTCAGTTGGATTAATTACACTTTTCTCCCTAACTGTGTCTTTCATCTCACTTTATCCCATTTAAATTAATTTCACATTGTGCATATCACAAATGTCCCTTATCTTTGGACAAAAGTCAAATAAAATTACATAGTTTTAAAAAATAAAGTAATGGTACCCACTTTCAATCAATGGTTGCATTGAATTAAATTTTTAGATCAAATTAAATCTAAATAATATTTTTTAAAAATTAGTTAATGAGACATTATAAGATTAGTAATCATAATTGAATGAACAAAATGACATAAACCTCAAAACTTTTTTTGGGTTTCTAGCCAACAATCTCTTCCCCTTAAAAAACTTTTTTTCTTTTGCTACGAGATATATAAGTTTGTACTGATTATTCTCTCGACTTCAAATAGTGATGATCGTAATTCAAACGAGTTTAAAAGGATAATAGTGTTGGACCTTAAACTTACTAATTAACACCCTCCTCCCCCCAAACTTTGTGTGACTCAGCCGGCGACCAAAGTTGACTGTAGCCCTCTCTCTCTCTCTCTCTCTCTCTCTCTACAACAAAAATTTCTCCACACACACGCTGTTTCACTTCATACCAACAAAAACTTCTCTACACCAAAAATCTGAACTCTAATTCTCATCGATTATTTCCGGTAAGGTCACCGTAGAGTGTGACGACGGACTTTGGCTGTTGGGTGTGTATTTTTTCATTTCCTTTCTTTACTGTTCACTTTTGGGTCTGTTTTTGTTCTGGTTTTCTAATGGTAGATGATCTTATTGAATTGTCAAATGAGAGAGTGACACACACTGAGATCAACTTCATGTGAACGTCACCGTTACTTGTTATTCTTACTGAGATCAACGTGCCAACCTGAGGGAAGTTAATCTACTATTAAGTTAATTCTAATCTTAATGTAATAGCCTGTTGAACTTGCTGTGTGCGTGTGTTCTTTATCTCTACCAGCATTATCTTGATGTTATTCTACTGACGACTATGGTGGTGAAGGAGATATTGTACCAAAATTTATAATGTTTTAAGTCAATTTATGATTTTTTGAGGTTATTCATGATCTGTATAGTTATACCTTTGTCCAATGCCTAACTTTACTCTTAACAATGATGTTTTTTAGTACAGTATCAAAATTTTAATTTCAATACCCTAGTTTTTTCCAATATTGTACTGTGCAACTGGCCTTTGGAGAGTCTAAGAGCTAAATATTTAGATTTTTTTGTCAAATATTCCGTTATTCAACTATTAGCATATGTTTTTTTTTTTCTGATTGAAATATCTTTGATGATTGATAGTCTAGAAATTTCTCTTCTTGAAAAGATCTCTACATGAACTAGCAATTCCACATTTTTCTCGACTTCATGGAAAACTAAGGGATGTCAATATAATTTATTATTTTTTTCCAAAAACAACTAGGCTCAAAGGTAATCTTTCACCTCTTGAGTGCAACACTTGGAGTGTATGTTCATGAAAGCAGATTCGTAATCTCCCGAAATTAAAGGTAGAGCAGCGCTGTATGCGGTTTTCTCCTTGTTGGGTACATTACTGTTTCTTCCCTTTCCTTAGTGCCTATTGGTGGAAGATAAAATGATCAGCCTTGTGATGTTTCTTACTTATATATCAAATTTAGCACTGACATTCTTTCAATTATAGAATTTCAAACTTGATTTGTCTGTGTGTTGATTTACATAGACTTTGACATACTTATCCCATTAACTCTTGTCATTTCTAAGCTATTTCATTCCAACAATTCTTAGAGCTGTCAAATAGTTAATGGGGTGTGATAACTACTGACATTTCCTCAATCTTATATTGACATGAGGGCACAGAGAACTTTGCAAATGGAGGATTTGACGATGCCAATGGATAATGTAGAGTTGTTGAATAGTTTTTGCTCATATTCATTTCCATGTTGTGATGCTAAAAGGGAGATTGTTGTTTTGTTGCTTGTGAATTTTGCTGCCCATTAAACCAGAAGAATGGAACATAGTGGCTCAATGGAAGAAAGTGGAAGACATGGTGATGTAATTGATACAGAAAATATCCACATTCCACTGGTAACATCCATGAAGGGGAGGTTAGAAAGGTTGCCTCCTCTGTCCTCTGAGTGTTGCATCTACAGGGTTTGCCCGACACTTCGGAAAATTAATGAAGCAGCCTACACTCCTCTCAGGATCTCAATTGGTCCACTTCACCATGGAAAAGAGGGGTTAGAAGCTATGGAAGAACATAAATGGAGGTACTTAAAGAACTTTCTCCAATGAACCCAAAGGCAGCTGGAGGAATTAGTTGACGTAATGAAAGAAAAGGAAGAAAGAATACGGCAGTGTTATGCAGAAACCATCCACCTTGCAAGTGACAAATTTGTAGAAATGATTCTTGTTGATGCTGCTTTCATCATTGAAGTCTTGCAGTGTTATAAATTCCATCATCTTGTCGATGAGAATGATCCTCTGTTTAAGAAACCACGGATGATTTTGGATATAGATCGTGATTTAAGGCTGCTTGAAAATCAACTTCCATTTTTTATTCTCGAGGATCTTTTCAACCTGGCAAACTTACAGGCATTCTGGAGTGAAGTCGAGGGCCCATCTTTCAATGATTTGACCCGTGAATGCTTTGTGAATTCATTGAATCTAATACACAATCCAAAGAAAACCAACTCTCTAGCAGTGAAGCATTTTGTTGATTTCTTAAGAAGTTCATACCATCCGAAAAACCAAATCACCCAAAAAGGAAAGGTGAAGTTCAATTCATACCTTGTGCAACAAAGCTCCACGAGGCTGGAGTAAAGTTTAAGAAGGGAGCAAGCAAGACCTTGTTTCACATAAAATTTGCAGGTGGTGTTTTGGAAATCCCATGTTTGGAAATAACTGATGGAACAGAATGTTTGCTACGAAATCTTCTTGCCTTCGAGCAGTGCCATTATGATGTTCATTACATGGGTGATTATATCACGGTCTTGGATAGCCTCATAGACAGTCCCAAGGATGTTGATTTACTTGTTCGCAGCCAAATTATCAAAAATTGGCTTGGGGAAAGTGAAGCGGTGTCAAATCTGTTCAACAAACTTGGTAAACAAATCACCTTAAACCGCAATATGTTCTATTTCGCTAGACTTCATGAAGAACTGAATGACTACTGCAAGGCTCCTTGGCATGAATGGAGGGCGACATTGAAACATGACTATTTTAGGACTCCATGGGCTGTACTATCTATCGTCGTAGCTGTTGTTCTTCTCCTGCTCACACTCATACAAACGGTGTGCTCTATCATTTCTGTGCTTTGATGATTGAGAGATGGGTGCTTTGATGATTGAGAGATGGTTACCTATATTTGTTTGAACCCCATTCTTGGCAACGTGGAGGTACTTTTCAATCAATAAAACATTCCTTCATTTGTCAAGGAACTTATGGCATAGATTGTGAATGTGGTGTCCTATACTTGGGAGAATTTATTATAAGCAATTAAGCAAATGCAAGCATGTATAATTGATTAGAGTAGATAATTTTTCATAATAGGGTTGTGTGTGCATGTTAAGTTGTAGATACGGGGCATTTTTATCACAAGGTGAATGAATGCAAATGTGGACATATATATAGGGCCAAACCAGTCCCACATTAACGCCACACAAGCCAAGTCCACGTGATACACCAGGTGGACCCAAATTCAAAGAAATAAAAAAATAAATGTAATGAGAGGTGTCCCCCCCCAACAAAAAAAAAGAAAACAAACACACATACATAGGGTCGGGGAAAGGAGGATTAGAGAGTGGGTGTTTTTTTTTTGTTTTGGTGGGTGGGGGGGGGGGGGGGGGGTTTCATTCAAAGCGGTGGGGTGGGAGGTTTACTATTTAGGTCTTGGGGGGAATGTTTGGTTGGTGGAGAGACGCTTAGAATCACGAACGATTGGTTTAGTAGATAAGAATTCAAAATTTTTAACTTATTGTTTGAGTTCAAGTCTCCACAGTTACAATAGTTCGGTTGGGCTAAACTTACTTTTTAAAGTCTAAAACAAATGGTGAGACCTTAGCTTTAATCCCGATATAAGTGCATTGGGGTTTTTCGTAGATAACTGTGTGATGCTGAAGGACAATGTTTTTTTGGTAAATATGTTAACTGATCTATCTCCGCATCAATTTATTTCCACTGTACCAAAAAAAAACAGAGAGATGGTTAGAGGGCCGGCGGGCATGATGGATTCAGCTAGTGGTTGGGAAGTGCAATTGGTGATGTTCGGCTGCAAGCGGAGAAGAGAGAAATTAAGAGACGGAATATGGAAAGCAATTTGAAAGGTTGAAGATGATGGTTTGGTCCGGATATAATGGCTTATTTTTCTAGAAGTGATTTCGGTAGTCAACCAATATACTATTGTATTTCACATGATTATCCTATTTCAACCAAGTGACCGGTAGTGTTTCTTTCTCTATCCCATCTTACACCCTCCCTACAAGAAACAAATCATAATAATCCCTAATGCAATTTTCACAAAGAAATGGGAAGTGAGATACTATTCTGCCTTTTTTTTTTTAATTTTTTTTTCCGAATTTGGGTATTTTGAGATTAGGCTATGGGTGGGTATAATGTTGGTTTTTTCCATCAGTCTCTGAATTGAATTTGGGACGTCATGGAGGCAACCAAGGTAAAGCAACCTCACACCTTAAACAGTGGTTGTCAAAGCTCTGAGTCTTTGATAACAAGTCAAAATAGAAAGAAAGCATCTAATATTCAGATAGAGTGAGTAAATAACAAGAGAAATTTGAGAAAAAAAGTATACTAGAGATGTCCTGAAACCAAACATTATCATTTCAGACTGCAATCTGGCAAAAGTTCTGTAATGTTTTATCACATTGAGGAGACTTGCAATAGGAGTAACATTACAACTGAACCCAATAATACAAAAAATAAGAATAATAAGCATAGACAGCCGGAAAAAGTACAAAGTATTTCAGAATCCCGCTCAAATTTCCAACTTGTAGCTTAGTTCCGGTTAACTACATTCATCAATATGTCAAAAAGGAAAAATATATTGAAAATCAATCAGTCAAAAGCATTATCTTCATAACATGACTCAAGTATTAGAGCTGTTAGTATTCGTCATCCTCATCATTGGCATAACAATCATCGTATCCATAATAATTATAATCATCATTGTCTCTAGCTGTATCATGACTTTCAAGATAGTTGGCTCCATCCTCATTCTCATTGTAGTTGCTATTTTCAGATTCTACCTTTTTGAAGTTCAATTCAACCAACTGTGAATCACCATCATTGACAGAATCAGAAACCATCCTTTTATTCCTCTTTCCTTCAGGTCCTAGTTCCTGTGAAGACATTGAATGAACCCATTCAGCTATAAGACACGGAAACTGACCTTAGTTGCAGCTTACATGTGATACTTCAAATCTTCATACGCGCATAAATATGAAGAAGCCATAGCATTAGCTTTTATTTTGGAGCAATGAAAATTTAAAAGAATCCCTACTAGAAATCTTACTAAATACATGTTCCACCAATCAAAACAAATTAGAAATATTTTTGAAATATGCAAATTATTTAAAGAATCATTAATAAGGTAGCTCAAAACAAATTAGTAATTTTTTTTTTCCAGATATGGACATGTCTTCAGATACATAAAGATGATAAGTATCAAGTTTCTTATCCCAACAGTCACCGGCAGTCAACTTTCCCAGAAATGGGTAAAAAGGGATCGATGTTTCTGCTAACATGTTACGTTGAGGTATTTTGCATTATAATGATAGGAGACAGGTTATCAACAAACCCTGAATGAAATATGCACTACAAGTCCCCCACCTTTTGATTTTCTTTTTCATTCCTTGTCTCCAATTGCTTGTTAGTTATTCTTAAAGGCTTTCTCAGACTGCCAAGTGGCAACATCTTTTTAGGATACTAACAATGTACAATGTACCTGCAACATGAAAGCTTTTGAAAAAAAATTGATACAATCTATAATATTAATATAAATTATATTAAAAAATTAAATTAAATATCAACTCATATTGGCCAAATTTATATTGTGTTCGTATTATGTTGAGTAAAAAAAAAATTATAAAAGTTAACTCATGGAAAAAGATTATATTTAGATCATTGTTCGTATCTCCTTCATAACTATAAACATTTCATGTCCTCATTTTTTATGATTATTTTTTATCGAAAAATTTGAAGGGCTATAATGTTTTTTTTTTAAATGATGGTTGCCTTTTCCTTTTATTGTTTTTGTTTTGTACTGGAGTTATTTCCCACACTGAACTAATAAGATTGCAACTTATGCTAAATAGTGGATCTATCATTGTAAGCAATCTGCTCAATACCCTATAAAATTGTTATTTCCAAATTAGTTGTACCGCCATACAGATAGGAAGAGTAAAAAGTCTTTGAAGAGACAGTAGAGAAGAAAAATGCTTTTTATAGATGAGGAAAAAGCTTAAAAATCTAAAAGAAAAACAAAAGATGATGGGGAAAAAATACATATGTTGGCTTTTGGGCATTTTAGGATAATAGTGTATCATTGGAATTTTTGAATAGATTCAATATTTTATTGGATAAAGAAAATTAGTATCTCTATGTATCTTGTTAAGGGTGATATGGTCATTCAAAAAAATTAAGAGATATTGTGATTTACGGGAGATATTGGAGGTAATTTGATTTTTTTTTTTAAACTCAGAAGGATATAATGATAATCTAGATATTTAAATATAAAAGATAAATTAGCCTTATTATTTTTGATATAAGCTAAATAGCAAATGAAAAATTTGTATGTTAGGTACTTTTTTAAGGAGCACCTTTTTTGGTGCCTATTCTTTTTTGATTTGACTTTCGTTTTGTGACTAGGTAATTTCCCATATTGAATTAGTTAGATTGTTGTGATAAAAAAAAAAAACAAAAATAGTTAGACGGTAATTGATGTAAAAACGTAGATATATCGTTGTAAGCATTTTTTTCATTATATCATGAAACTGATATTTATTCATGATTAACATCAAATAGATAGCATGAGTGAAAGATATATGAACAAAGAGACATAAGACATTTTCTGTTGAAGAGAAAGACGCTTGAATATATGCAAAGAAAAATAAAAAGATGAAAGGGTTGGATTTTTTAGATGAAGACTGGAAGATATATATGTCTCCTTTTGCACATTTGAAGTTAATGTTGGATTAATGGAGTTCTTGAAGAGATTTTTAAATATTTTACGGGGAAAAGAATAATAGTCATTACATATGATGTTAATGATAATATGATCATACAAAATTTTGACACATAGTAATGATCAAGCATACAGTAAACATTGATATCATTCATTAGGTTAATATAGCATATGACATAAGTTAGCTAGAAAATCTGGAATAAGGCAGGATGCAAAAGTAGGGGTGCAACTCAGGCGGGTTGAACAATCAACCCTAGGTATATAATTTTTTAACTAACCCTAACCCTAACCCGGGTTGGGGAACTCAACCCGAGCACTATCCGAGTTTAATTCGGGTGGGCTAGGGTTGATGATTGCGAGCCGATTTTGGGTTACTTTACGGATTCAATTCGGGTAGAGCCAAAAATAAGCTTGTTGTTCTAAACCTAATACATATATTACAAAATATTCACCTAAATTAACAACAAATAACTTCAACCAAGTTTTTAACGAGAGAGGCAAAAAAAACGAGAGAGACCGAGAACGATAAAACAAAAATGCAAAACCAGTGCTAATACTTTATATATAAAAAAAATTTGTCGGGTTCGGATTGAACTCGGGTTCACGAGGCTTTAACCCGAGCCCAACCCAACCCAAATTGAATTCGGGTTGGAGTTTTTTGACCCAAGCCCAACCCAAGTATTAAAAACCCTTGCCCAAACTCTAATTTTTTCTGGTTGGGCTTAGGTTGAAATCGAGTTGCCCAACCCAAGTTACACCCCTATGCAAAAGACACATGTACTAAAAATTACACTCATTTATTTCAAAATAAGCTGATAATAAGCATAATCAATGTTAAGGTGGAACTATCTTACTGACCAAAAAAATTTTACTTTACCAAAAAAAGATAATTTCTTGATAATCCCACACCAAATAGCAGTCTTAGTAGTCTACTACAACAATATAACCAACGATTCTTCTTACATATACTTTCATACAAGCACATATATTCATGGTACCCATATGGAGAGTGTTGTACTCTACAACAAATATAACCAACGATTCTTCTAGATGGTTAAATATTGTTAGAAAATTTAAATGGTTAAATATGGTTAAAAAGAATTATAGCTGGGTGTAAGTGGTCATTTAGAAATATATCAAGGGTAAAAGTGAGATTTTATTAGAAGACCGGTAAATATAATGGAAGAGAAAGTTATAGGTGGTTACTATAGATAATCCATGACTATTATAGTCATTTTATGGGAGGACACCACAACCCACCTCTCCCTTAATATTATAGATAACTAAATACAGAAGAATATATTAGCATTTATAGTTTTTACAAGGGTAAAATAGTTAATAGAAAGCTTTTCATGTCAAAGCACATTAGAAATTTACATGAGATGTGAAGGGTAATTTTGATATTTAAATACAAAAGGATATATTAGCTCTTATAATTTTTTAAAAGGGTAAAATAGTGAATCAAAAGTTTCTTATGTTAAAGTATTTTTATATGTATTACTATTACTATAGATGATTGATTGACTAAGCACACCAAAGACTTTGCATCCCTCTGCTCCATCAGTAGACTAGCAGATTCTAGTCTACATCAAGCAAAAATATAATATTAAATAATACTTAAAGAAATCCAGTTCTATTTGGCATCTTGGCTTGAAATTGAACAAATTTTCCAACTTAATAATTTCAATAATTTCCTATGTATTGGACCTCTAATTAAACTCAACTTTTGATTTTTGAAGCTGTCTAAGTCGATGATATGTATAAGCATTGCAGAATTAGTAAGTTAAAAGTAGGTGAGGCTTTAACATCATGGTTGAAGGAAATACTAGTAATATCTGCCTATTCAATAAAACATTTCACAAATGATGGAGTTTGTTGTTACAGCTTGATACAGGATCGGAATTTCAATCAGATCCCTAGAATAGGAGTTACCTAAATATGCATAACGATACAGATAAAATACTCAACGTTATTGCCATTCATCGTCTTATTCAATAGACGGTAATTGGCTCTTGCAATCTTTTTTTTTGTGGCATACCAAAGAGAGCAATGCACTAGGCAATGGAGATTCAGGAAATAAAAAGAAGTGAAATAAAAAAAACATACCAGCTCATCTGTTAATTTCTTCAGGGCATCATAGTCAATTCTTGAACTTGTCCTCTTCAAAAAATAAAAACTCTCATCACAAACAGAAAGAAGATTAAAGAAACTTCCTAGGCAGAATGAATATTTTTCATTGAACATTGTTGGCAAACTAGGATGCTAAAACCTCAAATAATAGACCTAGCAAGGCAAAATAAGATTTGCCTAGCCAAATCCACAAAGTTTTTTTTTTAAAAATGGTTGGATTGGCAGAGTGTAATATGGGAAACATACTCTCAGTATTGGTAACCATTTAACTTGAAAAATAAGCATGCAAAAACAATTTGAAGAAAATCAGGAAAGTTGTGTCATCATCTAAACCTTCTGAGTCTCCATTTGTTTGTTGGTTTTGGCAGCTTTTTTGGCAAAATTATCTTTCTTGGCTTCTCTTGCTCGTTTTTGTTGCCGTCCCTGCATCTTGTCCTGCAAACATAAAAAAGGTGAATGAAGGTCAATTCCGAAAGAAAAATACAAGTTCATGTGGTTGAGAGGACAAAACCCCAGGCTCAAAGCCGAGTCCACTATAGTAGTTACACAATGTAATGAAGAGATTCTCCAAAAACCAGCTATCTCAAAGTAACAATGTTTCAAACAAGTGTTGCTTATCTTTGTTAAATACAAATAAGGCAGTAAGCACAAATATGGACATGAATGTCGTATCCGACATGATATGAACATGGGGATACAACAAAGTTCAAAAATATAAGACACGGTTACAAAAAGGATACAACTAATTAAAATAATATATATTTGATAATAATAAAATTAAAAAAAAACATATATTATAACAATATTAATGATAAGACCAAACAAATATTAATTTCTTGATTAAAATTGAAATAGATCAATATAAACATTCACTATTTTCATCAAACATCATTACATCTATTAACATTCATGGTCCATAAGTTAAAGAATAAAAAAAAAAATAACAAAATAAAAAAATCATACACCCCTCTTAATGATTAATAGTCGTGAAATCAAAAAACATTCTAGCTGTATCTCAGTCGTGTCTTGGTCGTATCTAACTGCATTCACTGTGGACACTTCTAACTGTGTCAAACACATGTTCGACACTCCCACGACACCCGGCAAACATCCGTGCTTCCTATCCTATAATATTTAGTGTCAATAGGAGGGTTTTGGAGCCACAAGGATCTTCAACAGGTTACAAAATCGAGGGAACAGAACCAGAATAGATATTTAGATGCATGAAATAAGTCAGCCAACAGACCTTAATAATAACATAATTTTTTCTAGTTTGGCAAATATCATAGTAATCAGAAGGCTCTACATGGACCTTTTTAAATAGAAATTTGAGACAACAATAATTAATCTTAATGCTATGACTGCATCATATACCAATTATGTATAGGGGAAAACAACCCATTTCATGTGATTATACACCTTTCGAATATCTAACTTATAAAGTAGCCCTATTCAGGTTTACGGTTGGTTCGCCATCAAAAGAACTAATCCTGAATAACATTTTGGTCAGCAGGAATACAAGTTAACTAGAAATCTATCAACAAACCTCATGAATTTGTCTCCATACAGTGCGACATGGAAACTCCCTCTTCCACTAACCTCCAAAGACATGGAAACATTATGAGCTTATACACACTCCTCAGTAAGATAATACGTCAAAGTCATTAAATCTGCCCCCTTATTTATTTGGCACAAAATTTGCAAAGGAACCATTGAGACTCTAAAAGTCTCCTTGTTGTATAATTGGACACTAGCCAATAACAACATTATGCTCCACAACCCAAAGTTTCAGGATAAAGGTCATCATCTCATGCAATCCTGATGCCTTGTGCCAAAGTAATCCTTCAAAGCCTTGACCTTTCCTTTCCTGAGAGGGCCTTTTAACCACCTGTATCATCCCCAAATTCCAAGCCATCCCAATCACCCAATCTTGACCTCCGCCTTTGAGTTCTGAGTCCATTCTATGACAAAAGCCACAATGCCCTTCTAAATATCTTTCTTTGCAAGTTAACCCCCTTCACACCAAAATTCTCCCAGGACGGTCGGCCTACTATGAGCACTAGCCATTCCAGACAAAGAACTTTGTATTTCTATTTCTCTAAATCGATATTTTGTATTTCTACTTCTCTAAAGTGATATTACCCATCACTTTTTCTTCCAGAAACATGTTTAATACTAATGGTTCATTAATCCGAATCATTGAATCCCAAACTCCAGAACTCCTTCAGGTACCGTGATTCCGAAAGTGTGGATAGGGTTACAATGGCAAAGGTTAGATGATGTGTTATGTTAGGGGAAGCTATCTATTTAACAGTTTACACAGTTGAAGAATGTTTGTCAACTTCTAAAAGGAAAAGCGTTAAGAGTTAGATTAATTGTAAAGATGATGCAAGCCAGAAGTGAAAAGATTAATCTGCTGTAGTGGCTGTCCAAAGTGCTAAGAGTAAGAGTAATTGTCAACATGCAAGCCAGAAATCAAAACACAATGTCTGCTGTAGTATCTGAATAGCTGTCAACTATGATTTCAGACTGTTAAAGGCCTAACGGTTGAGGAAGATTCCAGTGTAGAATTAGGATTTGGGATGGAAAACTATAAACCAAACAGGGGCCAGTTCTAATTCAAGCCATTAAATTCTGATCAAAAGATCACCTTCAAACAAACTTCTTTGCATGTCAGGTGGTTTCTCCAATAGAAATCTGGATCCTCCTCCCTTCAAACACCCTAATGACAAATTTGATATTACCTTCCTTTCCCCGCACATAATCAACCCCCTCTCCCCCCAAACAATGCATTTTTGTGCAGTGCCTTCCTCAACTCCTAATGGTGAAGCGAAAACATCACATTGAACATTACTTTTGGCCTATATTCTTTGAGAAATGCAGTATAGGGAAAGCGAATCTCCAGAACACTTCAATGGAAGGACTCATTGCTAAAAGACTGCAGTCGAAATCACTACCTCAGTGAATGAAAAGTCGACACATGCACTCTCAAGATCAAAAAACAGTGGAAATATACATGGAGTATGATCAATTTGTATCTACCATAGAAAGGAGGTAAGAGCCAACGTCTCCCTCCATTTACTGCTAATGACCCTTGCACACCACATGTGAATCTACATATCCATAATAGAATAAATGGACCCCAAACAGAAGAAGAAATATGACAGAAAAAAAGTCGAATAGCTGTGATCAATTAGCCAGTGTCTCAATTCTCTTCAACCTAATAGAAGATAAGAAACTACGAAACAAAGATTTCCCCCTAGTAGTCATTCACACACTAATTTATAATATGCATTGCCACTATACTAGAGAGAGATTATACACGTTATTTGAAATTACTCGATTATAATGTGTAAAGATTATAGTATCAGGGAACGAGAAAATACAGTACTTCCAAATGTTCTTTATTCATTGCTTCCCATAAGATCTTCTTGAATTGCATCTCTTCCTTGTTGTGAAGATACCCATTAATCTGTACAGCATACCAAGTCATATATTTGCTACAAAAATAATATTTACAAATGTAAATCGAGGTAGAATTGCTTAAATGAAGCTCAATCTCCAGACATGAAACTGCAAGCATTAGCAGAAAGAACATTAAAATATGCATTTATGTACATGACTGAAGAATCAAGTTTTTCAGCATTGGAAGGTAGATGAGCTTCAAGCTTTAGTTTAAATACTTAGATTTATGGAAATGAGTTCATGATGAACAACTTTGTAAAAGTTAACCGAAAGTTAAAAAAATTGTAATCTAGGAGGGAATTCTGCCCGTTTTGGTTTCTGGAGGCTTTGGGAAGAGATGGTGACATGAATAACTTGAAACGCTAAATTGAAAACGGATGTGACAAATGTTTAGAGGACTCAAATAGAAATGGGAAACATTAAACAAAAGTAAGCTCCTTTACTCACAAACTGAAGTTTATTTTTGAGGAACATTCAGAACAAACTTGAGAAATTAAACATTTTAAGGGAATTCAGGAACCGTGGCCTTCAGTTTTCTTCCGCCCCCAAATTAAAAGAGAGGGAAACGAAAAGAAAAATATCCAAAAGCATGTGGTTCATTTCACATCTCAAAAGACAAGCTTAGCGGAACTTGAAAGAAATTCATATAAAATGCCAATGACAACGGACACCTCAGAATCATCAATGTCAGAAAGGCTTTCTGACTCATTGACAGCTGTAGTTCTTCTTCTCCAACACTTATGCCAATGTAGCCGATCACGAGTATCTACATTGACAACTTTATGACCAGCAAAAGCCTCTGAAACATCAAAAAATGATGTTGAATACAGCTTCCAAAGTTGGTGCCTTACTAATACATGACTAGAACTTTATGCATGATATTTTCTATTACCTTTGTAAGTATGCAGAGTAGGATTTCTATCAGATTCTCTTACATGCAGGAGTCCACTTGGGACATCACTTGAGCCTACTTTTGAAGAAGGTCCAGCATCTTCTTCTATCTAGAAAACAAACAAAAGAAGGAGACTATAAGATATAAAGAACTAAGTCTCTCTTTTGTATATCATCATTTTCTCAACTGAATTTCAATTCTAACTCAAAAAAAATGTTTATTATACGAGATTGTATATCATAGTTAACACATACAACAGAAGACATTCTCTTAGCCACATGTTGATATCCCATCATAAAAAATTAACAAAAAGGAGTTACAAAAACTCTTTAGAAGATGCTGCACATAACACTAGCAAACAACACAACCCCTAGGGTGTTCATGGGCAGGGTTACCCACGGGTCCGCTATTTGGCCAAAAAACATAGGCCCGAAACTCGATAGTTGTCCCGCCCGAACCCGAGCCCAATATTCTTAAAAAGAGGGCTTGAGTTTGCCCCAAAATCCATTACTCGGCCCAATAGTCCGCTTGAAAAAACTCGGCCCAAGTGCTACCCAAGAGCCCGTCTGCCAAACCCAGTCCGTTCATTCTTCCTTTGAAAAAAAATTATACTTTTAGACTATTAAATTTGAAACTTTGAAATAAGTCTCCCAATGTCAGAATTTGAAGTTTTAAAAATTTAGATGCTATAAATAATGTATTATTTTTTTTTTCATGTATTAAGCATATAAGTTTTAAAGGGTAGAGTAATGCAAATGATAGATAAGTGAGTATGCGTCAACCTAGTTGGAATGTATTCATTCTATTGTATGTAGTTCATCCCCTAATCAAAAATAAAATTATTCATTATTTTATATTTATCCATTTTAATTCAACTTTTGATTCAAAAATATAATTTACACAAATATTAAGTTACAAAAATATTTATTATTTTTAAATAAAGTTGTATATAAAAAAGTCCGCAAGCAAGCCCGCTCAATAGATTCATGATTGGACTGCGGGTAGCCTATCCCTAGTCGAATCCTAGCGTGACCCGTCCGATAACTCACTTGAAAAAAGGTTTGGGTCTACACTACCCAGGCCCAGCCCGAAAAAATTTTCACGGGCCTAACCCAGCCCAACCCATAGACACCCCTAACATCCCCAAGCATGGAAGATCTACTCCCCTTCACAAAGGCCCCATAAATTTTCACAAATAAGGAAGCACAATCACCTGAAAATATCCATTCCCAACTTACCTCCCGGAATGCTTTATACAACAACTAAAGAGTAACTGGGCAAAGATTAATAATTTCACCACTGCCCCTACACGACACACCAATGAAGAGAGAGACAAGAATTAAGTCTTCTCCTCTACAACAAGTCTCATAGGTATTGATTTAACCATGAAGGGTAAAATACATTTTTGTTCCCAAAGTATATGTTTTGTGTCAATTTGTTCCCCAATCTTTTAATTGTGTTAATTTTGTCCCTCAATTTTTCAATTTGTGTCACTTTGATTCAATCGAAACGGTAATTGAAATTTACCAACGGATATTGTTACATGATCACACATAAGGAACCTTCTTTAAAAACCTTAGGGACTAAAGTGACACAAATTATAAACTTGAAAGACCAAAATGATACAAGTTATAAATTTGAGGGACCAAAGTGACCTTCAAGCATGGTCACGTGAACATTTCCGTTAGTCAATTCAAATCGCCATTTTTTATTGGACCAAAGTGACATAAATTGAGAAGTTAAGGGACTAAATTGACATAATTTAAAGATTAGGGACAAAATTGTCACAAAATGCATACTTTTTGATAGAAAACAAAACTACATCAATGGTGGATAAGAAATCCACCGAAAAAACAAAATAAGGCAAAGAAAACCAAAATAGAATAAACAAAATAAAAAGCTAGCCAGTACAAACAACTTTCCAATTGTATTGGATTTCTGATAATGTAGTTCCAAAAAACTATTTTCCTATACTTCTAGTTCTCCTATTTTGGACTTTTCATTCATATATGTAATTGCATTAAATTCCCCCTAGACCACATTTAGAATATTTGAAACCATATAACTCGCCAACTCTTCAAAAATGATGCCTTTCCACAACTAAATAGATCCAAAAATTCCTCACAACCACATATCCATCCCATCTTTCATTTTAAATGCATAGAAATCAAGACTGGCCTAGCACCAACTACAAAGATGACACCCTTTTACATCCCATAAAATGATAATATCATTAGACCTTCCATAAGAAGGTAAAAACACCTATGCCTTAAAGCTAACACCCCTTATGCTAACAACCAATGTTACTTAGATTGTGGGTCAATCTAGTATGTGGTATGGGTATGCGGTGTGGTGGGGTATATTTCTTCAGTACGCTATTTTAGATCGAAGTTTACTTTGGTACCTTTATTCTGCTTTCTACACCATTGTATAAAATTATATATATTTACATACAAAGTCCAAACTATAGTAAATTAAAATATTAGATTAGAAATTGCCAAATAAATAAATAAATAACAATAGGCTAATTAAGTAACTTCCAACTTGAAGAGAAAACAAAAAAAATTCTCTTACAACTTACAAGTCCAAAATAAAAATGACTTAGTAATAATGCAAAATAATTTCAAAGTAGTGTGCTTAGTTTTCATCTCTCTTTTTTTGGTAGTGTTTCCTCCTCTTGCAAAGTTGAAAATTTGAGTTTGATTCCGCCCAATGCGACGAAGAGGTGGCTTGCTAAAATTGGAAGATGGTCTCCTTGACTTTCCTCTATAGGAAATACACAATCATCCACCAAATAATTCCATCATATATCCTCTAATCTCACGATGGAATTATCAATATATGTGTGATTTGGAGTAATACACTATTTTTAAAAAGGTCTATCTCTACAACTTTCAATGAAACATGATTGAAGACAAATATTGGAATGGATGAAAACTACCTTTGCAACTCTTGTAGAATTCAACATTTTCTCTTGACATTGAGAATGAATAAATATGTGCTTCAATTTCTTTTAACTATGCACTTGTTATTGGTTGAGATAATAAATGTTTTATAAAGAAATGATAAATAAGTTATCAATAATAAACAAAAATAATAATACAAACTATTTAAATTAAAGTAGTACATTTTTAGTCACATCCGCTAAATCTAGAGTTTTTGAACCAATATGTTGACCACCAATCAATAACATTCACGTTCACAACATTTGTTTGAGTAGCCGCCATAGCATAAAGACCCATTTGTAGTGAAAAATTGCATATTATTCTCACACTAGTTTTGCTTATTGTATATACTCTGCTATTTTTCCAAATGCTTGCATAATAACCATGAACACTACTTTGTCTTGATTTGAATTTTTCCTAATATTGCCTCCAAGCATAGTTGTTAAATCGTGTATCGAAAGGAGTATCGTTTTTAAAAATAGTGTATCATATCGTATCATGTATCGTAAGATACGTGTAATTTTAATTTTTAAATAATTATTAATAAAATATATGATAATATTTCATTAATATTGCACCAACTATTCAAGTTTCTAACATAGTTAAGTAATATCAAAATGCAATGACCTCTAATTCAAACTTCTAACATCAACTATTTGAACAATTTTAATATTAATCAGGAATTTTGAATTTAATTGAACAACATTAATATTAGACTTTATTTATTTTTTTTAAACTATAACTACTGAAACGACGTTGTTTCACTAGTTAATGATTTAAAAATAAGTCCTAAAGTAAAATGATGTTATTTCAACACCAAAAAACAAAAAATAAAAAATAAAAAAACAGAATCGTCACTTATCGTACGATACGGTGCAAAAACGATACAGAGATACGATACATATTATTTTTCAGGTGTATCGTGACATATCGTCCAATTCGTATCGCGTATTATACGATACTAATAACTATGCCTCTAAGTGCTAACTTAGCAAGATATAAAGTATCATAAAATCGTTATGTTAGTGCAAACCCAAGACAATGAGTAGAAATATTCATCTTCTCCCACCAGGCAAGCACAATCTTTCAATCTAAAAAATTTTATCATGATGTTTTTTACCTCTCATGATATCTTTTATCTCGCCAAACATATTGTCCATATTTTCATAAATTTTACCCATCTTTTGACCATCACCATCACAAAATTTAATTAGAAAATATATCGACCTTGTGACACTTAAAATACACTTCACATCTAACTAAAAATTCTATTCACAGTCTCGCTAACCATAGCACCTCACCTCTTTGTGTGTTCATCTTCAGTTTTCAACCATTATTTCCATATTTTAAGAACAATAGTAGTTACAAGAGACTCTCTACAGTTAACAAGTCACTTTAACAAGATAAAATGTGACATAAACTTACTTTTGCCACTTTTTAACGGCTCTAATTTTGATTGAGCCCAAAATATAATCAAGGCGTTGGTAAAATCTTTAAAAAATGAGGTTCAAAGTATGAACATAAGGGAACCAAAATATATGATAGTGTACCTTCTCTATCTTTTTCCCGCAAGTTTACAATTTGCTGCATTGTTTGTCACTACCTGAAAGACATTTGATGATCCCACCTTTTCAATTGCTTTAAGTAAATATTGCTGAAATCAAAACTTTCAATGCTTCTTTTACTCTCATCTAATAAAGTAGTTCTTGCTTTTTCATATGAAGGAGCTTTGCAACCTTTAGGTCCCCTCGAAAAAGATTTGATTCCAATAAAAACACATGATTTTCTCATGGGGTATCTATTATATTAGATACATGGACAAAAGTAGATTTGATTCTGATAAAGACACATGGTTTTCTCATGGGGTATCTATTATATTAGACACATGGACAAATGTCAAGCATCAGCCACTAATTAATATAATTGCTACAAATAGTCATGGAGCTATGTTTTTTATAGTGAAAATTTTTCAGGGACAAAGAAAACCGGTCAAGTCATTGAAGAGGTGGTATCATCAAATGTCCTCCAAGTAGTGACATAAAAACATAAAATGCAACAAGTTAACTTTTCGAAAAAGAAGATGCGAAGATAAACCCATATATATTTTAATCTCCTTGTGTTGTCCATACTTTGAACATCATTTTTATAGATTTCGCAAAAGAATTTGAATGGCTCAAAATACTTATAGAATGGGAAAGACAATAGCTAAATACTTCATCAATCATACACATGCCTTGGCTATGTATAGGACTTTAATCAACATTGGAGCTATTAAAAGTGCCAAAAACTAGTTTGCATCACATTATACCATGTTGAAAGGA